AATTGTTGTTTTATGTTGAGCTGCTGGAGACCACTAGATGTCAGAGACAGTTCAGTGTGGAGTCGCTGACTCGGTTGTGTTCCTTCAGGTGGGCTGGAACTCGCAGCCCACCAGGGCAGTCATATTTGAGGACTGCGCCGTTCCTGCGAGCAACCTGCTGGGAGTTGAAGGTCAAGGCTTCACAATTGCCATGAAAGGACTGAACGGAGGCAGAATTAATATTGGTGAGTTCATACTGCCGATTACGCTCATGTACAGTGACAGCAAAGAGTCTGCACACCCCTCTTTGATTGCCAGTCAAGTTGGGGGGACTTCTGAACAGGTCCAAATTCGAATCAGTGAGAGAACAAAAACTTGAGGCGTTTGCTTTGAAAGCAAATAAGTCAGGAGACACCTACTAGAAGCGCAAACATTTATTTGGGGTTATTCTGAGGCACTCTAAATGGTGATCCGCCTGTACTGACTTCAAATTAACATGAGTTTGACGTTGACGTTAATCTGAAAGATTATTTTTTTTCTTTAATCATCTGAAAATGAAGTGACTTTTGCATTTGTCTTGATCTCATTTTTTTTTTTTTTTTTTGGTATCACAAAACCTGGCATTTGAACCTGGGTGTGTAAACTTTTCATAACTTTTTTCTACTTTCTTCCCTTCAAAAAAAATCGCTGCTATAAATTGCAAATTTTCTCCATTGTGAGGCAAATAAATTTTCTTATCTTATTCATTTTTTACTGTACTGTACATGCGCAGTTCTACATTCTAATGGTATTTTGCAAACCACCATCATTAAACTGATGGTGACATCACTGAATTCTTGTGAAGTGACTTTTTTGGGTGAAATACAAATGAATTTTATGACAATTATATTATGACTCATTTCTCATACAATTATGGATGTATTCTTAAAATATTTCCAATTTATTCTGACACAATTTTGATTGTTTTTTCCCACCAGTGTCTAGCAACTTTATTACTATAGTATTTAAAATTTTCAAATTTAAATTTTCTTTGAGTTTTACACTTTTATTCTTTAAGTATTGGAACTTTTTTTTTCTTGCTACATTAGTCTAAAAAATGTTTTGGTTATATTCTGAATTTATTCTAAAATGACAATTTATCTTGCACTATTCAGAATCCGTTTCTGAACAGTTTATTTTTTTTTAAGATTTTTTTTTTGCTCGTAGAATTAGGACTTATTTTCTCAGTAAAAGTTATTTAATTGTCAAATAGCCAGTTTAGTCACATAATTTTTTTCCTCAAAACTATTTTTCAATAAAGTTGCAGTTGACATAAAACAACTTAGCTGTGGTAATTCAACTTTCATTTTTTTTTTTATTTAAAATGAATGTTTTAACCATAACCCAGGGTGGATTTTGAGCTCAGTGTTAACATTTTTGGCGCTCAGTATGAACATGAAATGTACCTTCGAACAGCTTCATGTTCTCTGGGCGCGGCCCACGCCTCCATCCAGCTGACTAGGGACCACCTGTTGGTACGGAAGCAGTTTGGGGAGACTCTCTCCAACAACCAGGTCAGGAGCCCTTGAACAGCCTGTTTTTGCTCTACATGTATATTAACGCTGATTTGAACACACTATGCGTGTATGTGCAGTTCCTTCAGTTCAAACTGGCAGAGATGGCCACCGATTTGGTGGCGTCTCGACTTTTGGTACGCCAGGCCGCCGTGGCGCTTCAGGAGGAGCGAGCGGATGCCGTGCAGCTGTGCTCTATGGCCAAGCTCTTTGCCACCGACCACTGCTTCAACGTGAGTACATAGTGGATCCGAATCGGTGGCGGGCTGTGCATTTGGTACCAGGACCTTCAACGGGGACCTACCCAGGATCAGAATCAATGTTATTGTCATTGTCAGTGAAAGGTACATTCACAACTAGATTTTTTTTTTTTGGTTCGACCCAACTTGACTCACCTTTTAAAACAGACACTTTATAGCCGCCATCATACAAAAACACAACACAATGCAACTGTGCCATTTACATCATCTGGAGCAGTTCAGTGAATAATTATCTAATAATGTTACCAAAAAAAAAAACTAACTAAAAATACGCCGAGGTGATTATCCTGGTCAAGACACATTTTGGTGCCAAGAAAAAAAACTGAGGGTTGGGGGTATTTTGATATCACTGAATCCGAAAATGATTGATTTTTGGCTTTTTGTGTTATTCCATATTTATGTTTTAAAAAAGTGCTTAGAATATTCAAGGTATTCAGTTCATGCCTCAACTTTAATGGGACTGTCTTTTCAAGCATGTCCATACAGTAGTCTTTCATTTTTGATGCGATATTGTGAAAGATGGCAATCGTTATCGCAGGGAGCCTTCTAGATGCAAATCATGTTTCACGTGAAAATCAAGCAAAAATTGAACACTAAGCACTAATCAAATCCAAGATCTACTTTTAGTAACAAAGTAAACTGTCAAAGCACATCAATTAGAAATCAATTAATTGCCAAAAATATCAACATTTCAAAAACTAGGAGAAATTCAAAGGAACAGATGCCATTTTTGGACTTAGCAGCCCAAAATTACCCATAAACGTTGAAAATATATTTGGCCCTTCTGAAAAACTTATCTTGTATGCAGATCGCTACAGATGTATTTTGCTGTTCCAACGTAGCTGTAGCAATTATTTGTGTCATACTCCGGTCGTCATTTTATCGTTCCTCTGTACCCGCTCAGATCTGCAACCAGGCTCTCCAGATGCACGGCGGCTACGGTTACCTGAAGGACTACGCCGTGCAGCAGTTTGTGCGTGACATCCGCGTGCATCAGATCTTAGAAGGTCAGAAGCCATTGCGTCAGCATTGATGCCGCTGATGTTCCCCGGTGCTCCCTCACACCCAATTGTGCATTTCTCCACAGGAACCAATGAGGTGATGAGGATGATCATCTCACGAAGTCTTCTGACAGAGACCTGATATGAGTCCTTGGAACACAAATTGCCATGTTGTGCTAGTCTGTGACAGTACTTTGGAAAGGCCCAGGAGCTTTTGAGGGTGGGGTCGAACCGAAACCATTGATTTGCAAAAAGATGATATTCTCTGATGAATCTATCGAGCTAATGGAACGAGTGCTGTCACTTTGCAGTGGATTTCTGTTACTGTCGTATTTTAGCATCCCGGGGATTAGGACGCCCAATGTGTTTGGATCACATTACTGTTACCTCATTTGTCTTCAAGTGGCCTTGTCCAGTCTTTTTAATCATTGTTTCTTTGCTGTTACTGAATTGCAATACAATTTGTACATTCTGTATGAAAAGAGATATACGCTATTTGATAGAAACACTCCAAATAAATTCTCAGTCTATGATAAGAGAAATCCTCATTTTCACTGAATGATGTGGTCAGCGACGCGCTGCCTCTGAGCTATACATGTTAAACCTGCTGAATAATTTGGATGGCAAATCATTATTTGTGCGGTCAACATCAAAGTTGGACGAACTAAGGAACGACAGCCAACTAGGAAGCGCGACAGAAAGTTGCCCGGCGCAAATAGTGGCATAATTGTTTGAGTGTTGAGTGTCTCAAAAGATATTGACCACAGTCAAAATGACAATGCAATGCAGTTACCAGACAAGCTAACAGTTAACCATACTTCTTCTCGTTCTTTTTTTTTTGGCAGTCTGAATGCCGTGACACCGTACTGCCTCTCATATGTCAGTCTTGGTGCTACAACAGACCTCAGGTTTGGCAAAGGACCACACACGATAAGAGTAGTAACAATACAAGCAATTTGTAATTCTCCCAATTGAAGATGAAGGAAATGCAGTTATACTTTTTCACTTTTCGACTTAAGAAGTTTCTGGATAAGCATCAAATAATAAATGAAGGTTAGTACAAATTCAGAACTCCATGACGTTCTTGAATGGCAAAAAATTGAAAATACAAATGCACTTGATCAAAAAACATTTGCTGTTGGAATTTTTGTTGATCTTAAATAAGGTTTGGCGCAATCATTCAATCCTATGTAACAAGCTCGAAAATGATGGAATTCAGTGTGTTGCTGAATGGCGGTTAAAAAGTTTGGTAAATGATAGAAATGTGTCAAATGGGGCAGTATACATAAAAAAAAAAAATAATTAAAAAAAAAAATCAAAAACTTCTTGTGGGATGGCCCAGGGGTCCGTGCTGGGACCAAATCTTTTTTTAATTGATACAAAGTACATCAATGACATCTTTAATGTATCCCAAATATTAATATTCATTCTTTTTGCAGATGACGCCACTATTTTCTATCGTGATAATTACATTGGGCTCATCACTACTGTGAACAATGAGCCAAGTGTACTGAAAAAGTGGATGGCCTTAAATTACCTTTAAACATAAACAGACCCAAAGCAATGTTTTCTGGGAATTGAATAAATGATTCAGGATTACCAAAAAACATTAATGACGTTCAAATATAAAGAGTGTATGAAATTTTTTTTGGAGGAATTAATTGAAATTTCCATGGAAACCCCACGTCAACAAAAGTCTTAAAGTGCCTCTCAATCTCAATGACACTGACCGTGTTGCTTTTGCTCATGCCTGAAATAAAAATAAAAATGGCTGAAATTGGCTCATCCTTGCGAACAAAAAAGCTGGGCATAGGTTATAAATATGTTTAGTTTTATGCTAAAATCCATCCATTTTCAATACATTTAAATCCTGCGCAGGGTTGCGGGGAAACAAAAAAGGCAGACTTCACTCCAGATTGGTCAAAGGTCCGTCGCAGGGACATTTCTCAGAGAGACAACCAATGTAACATGTTTATTTTTATTTATTTTTTTAAATTGGAAAACAACTGCCAACCGTCCAAACTGTATTTCAAATGCTACATGTAGCTGCTCAACTTTTGCAAATAATACCAGCTGTAGGGTATATAATACATAACTGTTCAGTAGTAGAAATTCCACGACACAACCAGCAGAAAGCATGGCCGATTATGGGATGTCTCCAGGCCGTAACTGTCAGTTATCACCAAAAACAGTCCAACACCATCAACTATGTTCACATTTTTCATTTTACTTACATTCTGTCTACCATCACAGGCAACACATCCAATGCTACATGACCACTGAATTCTATAGAAAAACCTGAATGGTCATTTAGTGGGGTTTTTTTTTAGGTTTTTTTTTTGTTTTTTTTTAACTTTGTTTGGAGCATTTTTTTTGTTTGTTTGTTTTTCTAAGCCTGAGTAACATCAACAAGAATGTGCCAACTACACAACCTAAGCTTTTTGCTCTTCAGATAACTAAAAACATCTTCAGTGAAAATCAAAAATGTGCTGAGTCAGTGATATGAACAAACTGAATGTCCTTGCGGGAGGTTTCAGAGAAGTCCAATTACAAGGCAGAAAAAAACATTACAACCCGCCCCCTCCTACCTGTCCAATCACAGGCTACACCAGGGAGCCCGCTTGACTCTGCGCAGGCACCATGACGGCCACAGTGCCCGCCCGGGTCAATGTGGACGACGAGCTGGCCCGTGGGGACGCCGTGAAGGCGGGCGGAGTCTGAGGCTGAGCCCCCTCCGTTCTGGCAGGGGGCATGCGAACCACCTGGGGTGGACCCCCGTTGGTGGCGGGGGGCCGCTTGTGTTTACGTGATGGCGTCCCAACCGCATTGTAGCCAGGCAGGCCACGCAGGGTGTTGGCCTCGCCCGGGCGCAGCTGGTAGGCGTTTATTACGGAGCCCGCATCGGTGGTGGACGATGGCGAGTAGGGGTAGTGGAAGGCGGGTTGGCGGTGGTGGTGGTGGTGTTGGTGGTCTCCGGGCCGAGGGCTGGTAGCGATAGATGACAGTGTGCCGTTTTTGGAGACAATGTCTGACCCTGTGTTGCTCTTTGCCCACGACACTCGCTTCGGAGCCTGAGCATCCTCCCTGTATATGGACAGCAAAAAAACTATTCAAAATGGCCTTGGCCGTTAGTGGGCACTATAATACATCCATCCATGCATCCATTTTCCGATCCGCTTTCTCCTCACAAGGGTCGCAAGGGGTGCTGGAGCCTATCCCAGCTGTCTTCGGCCAGTAGGCGGGGGACACCCTGAACTGGTTGCCAGCCAGTCACAGGACACACAGACGAACAACCATTCGCGCTCACACTCACACCTAGGGACAATTTAGAGCAGGGGGGGCCATTACATCATGTCATTACATTTATGTGTCTCTGTGCATGTTAGTAATATATTTTTTGTGATAGTCTACACTGCACCTTTAGCATCCAATCAGTCTCACTTTCACAGAAAGTATGTAAAAAATAAAATAAAGTCGGTCACCATTAACTAAACAGTGGCGGGTGACCTACATCACCAGATGTTGTTTGCACTCAGCAGTCTGCAATTGGAGCTTGTGATCAGAGCTGTTGCGCTATATATTTTATCGTGCTCATGTTTCTCATTCAGAGTTTGTTTCATGGACAATTTACCAATGGCACTCGCAAAGAATGGCAATCTGGAAGGCCAAGAGAAGCATTTTAAAACAATATGCGTGAGCTACGATAGCTAACAGGCTGCAAGAGTTACTTGCCTCCGCGTCAGGTCTCCCACTAAGGTCGGCAGTGATATCCTTTTAAAAAAAACTCATAAACTCGACTTTATTTTTCTGTTTCGTTCATCTTAAGAGCAGTTATGGCTGTTGCTCATCATGGTATGCGTGTGTAAGTGCGTGCGGATTCGCACAACAGGTCGATTGCGGGGGTGGGGTGGGGGGTTGATCGAAAAGTAGATCTTCCTGGTCCAAAAAGTTTGGGCACCCCTGATTTAGAGTGTCAGTATCATACAGATAGATATAATACAGTGGACCACCGCGACCTGCGGCAATCGGGATTGGCTACGCTATGTCTAGTATAATATTACCTCATTTTCACTTTCCGCGCAAGGACCCGGTCCCTATCACCATCCAATTTTAAAAATTTCTTACTTGATCTCATTGGCTGTCTCCTCCTCAGTGTCCCGCCTCCTCCTCAGGACGAATATGAGGAAGAGCACCATGGCAACCAGTCCCACCATTGAGCCCAGCGTGGCCGCCGCAATTATGCCCGCGTTGGAAGCTAAACAACAATAACAACACAACGCACAGAGTGTTAATCACATGTGCTGGAGTCCTGTGATTGGAGTGTGTGTGTGTGTGTGTGTGTGTGTGTGTGTGTGTGTGTGTGTGTGTGTGTGTGTGTGTGTGTGTACACACAGGTGATAACCTCCAGGTTAATGGAGCAGCTGTCGGAGCCGGCTGTGTTGCTGGCTCGGCAGATGTACTTCCCCGACATGCTTTTGGTCAGGTTGCTCAGCCGCAGGGTGCCTTGTCTCTCGTCTGCACACCAACACACACATTGTCACGACCACTTGTTCATACCGACACAATCAGTGATTAAACAGCTTGAGTTCATACTACTATGACACATACTGCATGTCGTTGTTCCTTCAAGGCGGTATTACTGTGAAATTTGCAGAAATAAAACTAATGATTCATGGATTGACTGTGAATATTATTTTGTATTGGATTATTTGATTTGTGTACAGGTAGTTTACATTTCAAGATATTATTTTATCATATTTTATCCATGAATGCATCCATTTTACAATCTGGTTACCCTCACAAGGGTCGCGGGTGTGCTGGAGCCTGTCCCAGCTGTCTTTGGGCAGCAGGCGGGGTACACCCTGAACTGGTTGCCAGCCAATCGCAGGGCACACAGAGATGAACAACCATCCGCGCCACACTCACACCTAGGGACAATTTAGAGTGTTCAATCAGCCTGCCATGCATGTTTTTGGAATGTAGGAGGAAACAACCCACGCAGGCACGGGGAGAACACGCAAACTCCACACAGGAAGGCTGGAGCCGGAATCAAACCCAGTACCTCTGTACTGTGAGGTCAGCGCACTAACCAGTCGATATAGTAGTGCTGTCTCATGACACCAGCATTGTGACGCTCATGTTGACTCATTAGTTACCGTTCGCTGTCATTAATCCGTAATTTAATCCACCGCTGGTGGATTTCCAACAGCCAGTTTGGCAGCATGCAAACACACACCGCTCGCCATCGCACGAGCATATTCGCTCGCCAGACTTTCCTCTCATATTTTCGCACACAAAGGTCGTGCGTGACACTACGGCTAGCGCGTGTCCGCCGCCGTGCTTTCACAGTATTACCATTCAACAAAATCTGTCGGCTGTTGCAGCAGCTGCCTTTAAAACGGTGCCATTAAAAAAAAAAAAATTAAAAAAAAACGTTCAGGACAAATCTGTCTGCGATTCAATTTTCAGATAACACATTGAAGCATGTTGTCATCTTGTGTTGTTTTTGCAAAACATGCTTTGTGGAATTGTAATGAACAAATGCCCCTGATTTAGACAGGGGATTCCTCAGCAGGGCAGGCAACCTCGGCAATTGCTGAAGGCACACCACAGATTGGAGTTTGAGCTTCCAATCAAAAATAATACAGTGGTACCTCTACTTACGAAATTAATGGGTTCTGGAAGAAATTTCTTAACTAGAAAATTTTGAAAGTAGAGACCCGTTTTCCATTTAAATGCCCGAATCCATTCCAAACTCCCCCCAAAATTCAGACGTCAATGTTTTCTAAAGCATAAAAATGCATCAAAATATGTAACAAATACATGTTACAATAATATTATTGCACAATAAATGAGAGTTGTGCATAATGTAAAAGAAAAAGAATAAAGACTAAAAATGATGGTCATTTAACTTTTAACTGCATCCTCATCGTTTTTTGCCCTCTTTAGTCTATGTTCTCTCTCAGGAGTGGTTTTTGCCTGGCGTTTTGTCACGGGCCGATCCAAGGACGTTTGCTTTTGTCGGCTTTCCTTCGAAAATGTCCAAGGCAAATCAGCATAATGAGCGATCGCCTGACTGGTGAACACTTTTTCTGGGTGATTCACATTTACGTAAAATTATCGGATGGCCTCCGCCCACATTTTTTTTTTGTGATCCACAAACATTCTTATTAAGTGGTCACACACACACACACACACACACACACACACACACACACACACACACACACACACACACACACACACACACACACAAAACTACATCCAACACTTTGGCAGCCAATCACCAATCCAGCATAGTAGGATATCAACTGTCTAGTGTACAGGGTCACAAGCTAACACAAGATTTTATATTTAATACAGAGCAGTGATTCCATGCCTATGACAACCTAACACAAGACATATTCGAGTATAAAGGTAAAGATTTAAAGGAGAAAATCTTCGATAATGGTGGCAAATCAGCCATGTTAAACATCTACCGTAATTACTGATTAAATAATACCAATATAATCATCTGACTCTTGTTTTTCTCCTTTAAAACTTAAAATAAAAATATCAGATTCGGGATGAAAGGAGGAATGAGGTGAAACCCTTACCCATAAACCCCAGGACCAGTATGGGCTGAGGGCATGGCCTCCATTCTTTTGTGTGTGTGTGTGTGTGTGTGTGTGTGTGTGTGTGTTACATGTTATCATGGAAAGAAAAAAGGCAGAGAGAGAACAAGACAAAAATGAACAAAAATGGCACTGTGTGATGCACATGAGGTGGAGGGGAGGAGGAGGGGAAGGGAACCTCTCAGGCCCAAATCTCTTCGAGCAGCTGATCAAGTAATGACATGGGGCATGTTAGATTAGGCACAAAACAGGAAAAGAGGGGATAGAGAAAAGAGAGAGAGAAAGAAAGAAAGAGAGATGGCTAAAAGAAAAAAATAAGCAGTCAAGTTCCAGTATGAAAGGAGAGCGAGAGCATACATTAAAGTGCCGCTAAAAGGATGACATTTGCACTCAAGTGTTAGCAAGTTGCCAACCAAAATAAACAACAATGTCAATCAGAGGGAGTAGCTTTCATTTGCAAAATCTAAAGACTTTATAAAGAGACTTTCATAAAGAGATGACTGATGCACATCAATCGATGCTAAGTCCTCTTTGTTCAGAAGCAGATGGCCGCAAAGGGCACCCCACAACAGATTTAAATATATTTGTTTGTTTTTTTTCATATTTCCGCTTTCAGCGCTAGTAGTGCAACTGACAACTCTGGAACAGTGCCCCACCTCCTACTTGTTTGGATTTAGGAAAAAATAAACCGCACTGGAAATCAAAATAATCTGTTCCCAATGCCAAAAAGTTGCGATTAGAAAACCTTAAAAGAGACATACTTTATTCATTGAAGAAAAACAATAAATGTTCTTCTGTCTTCCCTGAGAGTTTAATGACACCCCAGTTGGTGTTCACAGAAAAACTAAACACACAACAAATACAATTTCACACACTATACATTTAAATACAATAACTGAGTACCCTTGCCAATGACTACATTGCTAGCATAGCCCCAACCAAGCTAGCACTAAGCTAGTTCGTCTCTCAGATACGCCATCCAAGTTTACAAACTCACTTTTGTCTGTTGCTAGAACGGCGTTAGCTGGCCAACAGCAAGGCGTTAGCAAGCCAAATCTTGCCAAAACTACATACGGGCATCCGCTTCAATTAACCATGTGTAGTATTCGACGCATGTGTCCTACCCATTTAGATAAGTCACACACACGGAGACATAAGGGCTATCCAAACAAACAATCCCCTTTGATGACAATATGCAAAAGTACAGCGATGCTACGACATGTTCTGACTTGAATGGGAAAATTCTGATTCGCCGTTCGTTAATGGCCAATTCGCTACTCAATTTGAGTTACCACCCATTTGTGCACAGCCCTACTTCCCGATAAAACAGGAGGCGCAATTTTTCTCTTGAAGCGAATTGTTTGGTCAATCGCAGAGTGTACGGTGAGGGGTCGCTGACTGTATTTTTAAATTGTTTTTGCCGATTGTCCAGTTTAGTCACTTTCAACCGCGTCACATTGTGCGGCGGTCTAAGTTTAAGTGTTGAGGTGGTTCACTCTGAGTAACGTTACTTAAATCCTTGCCTGTACTGTTAATACGTTTTTGTTTTTTTGTTTTTTTGGAGCTGTTATGTACCAAACGCAGCCCAAAAGGTTTGGTCTGGGACATGATGATGATGATAATGTTGATGATGATGATGACGTAAGGATGCTGAGTCAACTATGTTGTGTTGGGGTCAGCAGCGAGGTGCATGACATTTGGGCCAGCACGGCAACAGCATTGCACATCATGCTTGCCTTTGCGTTGACCTATGAATGATGTCATCGCCACTAAAAGACACACGGACAAAAATGGTGTCACCACATTCTGTTTTTGAACCAGTTTTGCACCAATTTTAAAAATTGAGAATATTTTACATTTAGAAGAATGGTATTTGGAGTTTATATGTTTATGTTAGCCACTTCAACACGTTATAAAAAAATACAATCATGAGAAACTGGTTTGACTCAAAGCTGATTAAAAAAAAATTGATAGGAACAGGAGACTTAATGCTAATATGAAAAATTTGAAACATAAAAAGCATCACATAATAAACTGATTATGTGCACGCAATATGGATTTTTTGAGCCTGACAATTCAGCTACTCATCTGAATAAATATTTAATGACTGATGAATCGATCGATCAATTAAAAAATACAATATATAATGAATAAAACGTTTTGGGGTTTTTTTTGGTCTCTTAAGGCTTCCAACAATAAATACTGAATATGAATTACAGACAGAAAATGTGATTTTTTTTTTTACAATAAGTTTATAGTATTTGCTTAACTTGTTGGGAGGGAAGGGTTTTGAATGTCATTATCTTTGTCTTATGTTGTGATTAGTTAATGTGTTTGTGGAAAAAAAAAAAAAAGATAATTTCATCTGATTAAACTGTCCGGCTGATTAATCGGTCCAGCCCGAATTAATTAATGTAACATCATGTGGATGACAACATTCAGTTAGAGAAATGCAATATAAGAATAATTCTCAGTCACTCTACAATTTGGGGGAAAAAATGTGTTAAGTACAATTCCACTTGTATCACGACAGTGCTCAATGCATAGTGTGTGTGCAAGTGTAAAACAAACAAACAAAAAAAAAATACAGTCAACACCACCTCTTTAATTTTAGGGTGAATATTTTTAGTGGCATATTTTTGTTATTGCAAGTTTTAGTCAATACCCAGGAGCCAAATTTGTAAATAAAAAGAAAGCCGGTGACATCAGCCAACAAACACGCCTAAAGCTTTCTAATTACCATGTCCATTTGTTTAATCCTCTCAGAGAGTGTGTGGCTTTCGTACACACTGAATGTTATATAAGCTTGACTTCAAATTTAACGTCAAACCCGCTTTTATTCAGTGACATTTTGAAGTGTACATAAACATTTCATTTCGGCCTTTTCTGGAAAAAAAAAACCTGGAATTTATGACGTGAATCTCTTTGTTGTTTGCATCCTAGCTCGATGACACAACAACAGGAGATCTGAATTCATTCTTAAATTCGCGATCATCATCAGTCTGTATGTTTATATTATTTACAAGCCACCTCTTAAGTCAGACTGATAGTCACTCTGGATAATCACCAAGTAAGGACACAGACTATAAAAGCTTGACAGTCTTCCACGGTGATCTTCTGCTCTCTGTATCTTCGCCGAACTATTGTCCGGCCAATCGCTGCGCTGCGTTTTCTAATCATGTGACTAGTTTATTTGCAGACTGAGCAGTGTGGCGGAGACGATGAATAATGGTCAGATTGGTCCATTTTAAGCGCACGTTTTAATGACCCATCCATCCATACATCTTTTATCTGAGCCAATTAACCTCACAAGGGGCGCGGGCCTGCGAGAGCCTATCTTCGGCAGTTGGCGGGGTACGCTTTGAACCGGTCGCCAGCCAATCGCAGGGCACACATTGATAAAGAGCCACACACACTCACAAGTACACCTCGAGACAATTTAGAGTGATCAATTCACCTAACTTGCATGTTTCTGGAATGTGGGAGGACACTGGAGTACCAAGGGAACACCCACACAAGCACACGGAGAACGACATAGAGGAAGACCAGGGCTAGATTCGAACCCACGACCTCTGCACTGTGAGGCGGACATTTTAATCAGTCGACCAATGTGCCGCCCATTTTAATGACCCCCATGAATTATTTTTAAGTGTTTTGAAAGGTGGCACATATATTTAAGTGGCTTTCGGGGAGGAGCCTTTTGAATGGACTTTTGGGAATTAAAACTTCTGCCTCATTTTTGATGAACACAACTTTGTCATGATGGTGGTACCTGTACAGCTACATGTATTTAAGCATTTGTGAGCCGCTAAACTAAATAGACTACTGACTGAATCCAAAAGTGAGTGAAATGCGGAAAAGTCTTTTGAAGCGGTTATAGCAGGTGTCCCAATACTTTTATCCGTCCATTGACGATTTGCTTCTTTGTTGATATTTGACAAGTACTCACTCTGCATTGGTGAGAAGAATACCTCCTGCATGGGGGCGGTCTTGGTCCACTTGTACTGAGGGACGGGCTTCCCGTGAGCGGACTTGCAGCTCAGAGTCACGTTGCCATTGACGACGGGCTCGCCCGTCATGGTGCACACTGGAGGGGATGGCGGGACTTGAAAGACAAGATGTCGGCATGTAAGCTACTGCAGCATACAACACATGCCTCAGATGTGTAATTCAAACTTTTTTTCCATATAAATCCCACTTGTGCTTTCAAGAACGGTTCTGTGTTACTTTGCAGTTCACATTGTGTCCATTTGCATTAACCAAAAATAAATACACACACACACACACACACACACACACACACGCACGCACGCACGCACGCACGCACGCACGCACGCACGCACGTGCATATCCTCAAATGCAGTATTGTGGGTATTAATTATTCTTTGTTTACTAAACTACAGAGAGAGAAGGTGTCGACTGAGGACGTAATGATAAAGGCAATATTGGTAAAACTGCCACGATATTATTGTCATGTCCCGATATCAAAAGCACCGCATTTGTTAAATCAGCCAGGTTAGTTCTCATTTTTGCAACTCCAGCGCCCTCTGGTGGTTAATTTATTCGTGCTATTTATTTTGTATTGGGCATGTTTTGGCCACTTACGCTGCCAATGTACACGAATGGCCAGGTGAAGAGAAACCTAACACTAATGAGTACCTCCATAAATTGACTTGATTCATAAGTTATTAGTATTATCAGCGAACTTCAGAGACCATGATACTTTGTGCCGCTGAGTCAATAAGAGCAACTGACAATAAAATGACTAGCCAATTGTATTTCTTTGTCACTGCTGTTATGTACGAAAACAAGATTGTGTGCATTTTTTTCACTGGGTTTTTTATTTTTAACAATTTAATATTTTATAAAGGTTTTATACAGTATCGTGAGCTTTTTTTATATCCACAACTTCCCCGCAATATCATGATAATTATGGAATCGTGAGGTCTCATTATGATGTTTGGATATGGTTATAAGTGTCTAGAGGTTTGTATTTTTAAAATTTAATTAAACTACATTAGGGCTGCAGGTACTAATTACTTTAATAATCCATTAATCTCATTGATTAATCAATACATCGGATAAAAAAAATAATTCCATCCCTTTGTTCAAAACCAGGAAATTATTTCAATTTGAAAGTGCAGAAAATGCAAAAACAAAATGATTAGAACTTCTTGGTTTGGTCTATAAGATGTCACAAAATGGGCAAAAATGTTGGTTATTGTTTTCCAAAGTAAAAGCAGGTATTTGGAAATGTGTTATTTTGATTAAACTTAAAAAAATAAAATAAAATCAGCTTTCACCGAGGACCATAGAAATCTGAGAATATTTACTGTTTGAAAGACAAACATTTTCCGCAAAAGAGAAAAAAAAATATTACCTTGCTGTCAGTTTTGGCTGTCATTTCAGCCTTCGTCAGAGCTGTCAATACTTCCTTGTGACGTGTCTTAAAAACAGCTGACTAGATTCAAAAGCCTTCATAATAAGGCTCCCCGACCCGATCAAGGCTGTGCTCCAAGCCCCAACACGGCAGATGATCGAATAATTTACATGATAAAATGTAACAACACATTTTTGTTAGTATTGGGAAAATGTCGGCATCTCTTTGAGGGAGGTCTTTATCTTCTCTTCGTGGAAGTAGTGGTGTGCTTACTTTGTGTGGCATTTCTGATCCAACATAACCTTTATGTGGTGATGCTGGGGGTGCGTTACCTTTGACATTAAGGCGCATCTGTCCAGAAATGCCAGTGCCTCCAGGTATGATGACGTCGCACACGTAGGGCCCCGAGTCTGACTCCTGCGTGTTGTTGATGAAGATGGAGAGGTTGGCGGAAGGCATGGCAGCGCTGAAGCCCGCCCGCTTGCTGAAGTCATTCTGGCCATGACCCACCTCCCCCGAGCTGAAGTTGATCACCTTAACGGACATTTGGTAATTCGCAGCGGTGGGCGGAGAAGACAAAAATTTTCATCAAGTAAGAGTACTGTTATTTTCAAAGAATATGACTTGCGTAAAAAGTAAAGAGTACACACGTAAAATAAAATAAGTTTTTTTCAGAACCCATTCTCTGGGTAGCTGTGGATTTTGAGCAGATTGGGTTACTTTTACCCAAGGTTGGGGAAAAGTATTTTATTTTGACTAAGCAGATTGGATTGAAGATTTGGTTTGTGCAGACTGAAGAGATCAAGTTGATCGTAGGGGCTGCATCAGGAGAGCTGTTAAAAACTTTGACAAACATAGCATGGGAGTGACTTGGTGTGGTGACCCTGAAAGGGAAAAGTTGCTTCTTCTTCGTCAAAATTGTTGTCAACGCAAACAGCTATAGTGCTATAACCTGGTAACCCATTTTTTGAAATCGGTATGGGTCATTCTTGGATCAAAATCTTGATCCGACATGCTGGGTCAAATTAAGTTTTTGGTTCAATAAATAAATGAATAAATAAAAATTGTTGAGTAACATCTGGTAATTTTTCAAATCAGAGCATGAAAGTCAAAAGGACACACCTAAAATAGGAACGTGCAAATTTGGATATTGCTCTACATCAATCCCTAAGAAAAAAGTAAATATTTATAAAATGACATAGGTCAACAAATTCAACCACCAGAAAATGGTCTTAAATTAACTTGTTATCCCCTTGAGAAGCAACGCTACTTCGAATTAGAGTTCCCGTTGGCTGAAAAGTTGAGATTTTTAAGCACACACAGATGACAAAGTTCCTGATTACATACATATTTTTTCATAGTCTATGAAACACCGATTAAATGTTAGTCCAGAGAAGTCACTTTTGAAAACTTTACTTATGTGTGGGGCCGTCGAGACTTTGTGTGCGGTCCTGCGAGTGCCTAGGCTCTGTTTGATTGGTAAAGTGGAGTCAAACGTCACAAGTTGTTTCGTTGGACTGGACGCAAAACAAACCGCACAAGTGATCTTAAAAGATTCACAATGGAACGAGTGGAATAAATATGACTGAGAAACGAGCATTTCTCTTCAATAAAAATGATGTTCCATGAAACAAGTCTGCAGAACATAGCCAAAAAGTCACTGAAGTAAATATAACGGAATAAACGCAGCGCATTACTGAGCACTTCTGGTAATTAGTCAAATGACAGAGGTGAATTTTGCATATCATACATTTTAATTGCATTGGTTGCGCGGCATACGTATTTGCTTGTGCAGATTAATCATATAAGCAGAAATGGACGTCCATCATAAAGATAATCCCGATGTGTGCAGATGGCAAGCGGCGACTTTTCTGATTTTCCCTGCGAGATAAGCCGCCGTGCATCAGACACTGAAACTGTTTAGATTATATTAATCATGCCAAGACTCACTCACGCACGCAAACACACACACATACACACACACACACATACACACACACTGTATTTGCTAACATTTACAGAGCAGATGTATATGTCATTAGGTTCACTTGCACTCCGAATGAGTTGGACGTGACATGTTGCAATAATCTTCATCTCAGAAGAGCAACTTTATGACCTGACATACCCTAAAATGGCCTTTCGGGACATTATGTGTGAGGCGTCCTCCCGCTTGGCTTTAGAGACAAGCATTGAATGTAAAAAAAAAAGAAAAAAAAGTGCTTGCTGATATAGATTCTGAAACAAATTACATTTGAAATGCCTTAACAGTGGTGCCATATATACTGTAGTTATATTGCACTCAAGATGATCATTAATCCAAGTGGAGTTCAGTGCATGGTCAATTTCAGAAGTACTATCTTTGACAAATGACAGACACATTTTTGTGTGTGTGTGTTTTTTTTCAGCTTTCGTCTCACCTGCTTGGACTCGTTCCCGATGAAGTGCCAAATGACCGTGTTTTTGGAAATGTCCGAGCTGGGGCTGTACCAGGCTTGCAGCACCACCATCTGGCCCTTGACCACCTCCATCTCCTCTCGTGGGATTTCCACTTTTTTGCTGTCACCTGCAACCATGACACAAATGTGGATTGTCTGTATTAACACAAATAGGGCTTGGCCTGCTTGGATGCTTAACTGAGCACAAAATTAGGTACACGGCTTCAACTGTTGTCGGATACAAAATATTAACTTAATAATAATGCTGACCTTTGATTAAGGCAGGGGTGTCAAATTCATTTTTGTCACGGGCCAAATTGTAGTTACGGTTTCCCTTGAAGGGCTGTTGTGACTGAATTTTGTGAAACCATATAAATGTTTAAGGACCTCCACATATTACATACACAGCGAACAACAAACTGATGGATAACTAATTTTAAAATCAGAAGTCAAGAATAATGGCTTGTTCCAAGATTGCAATTTTGGATTACGTATGACGGTTTGAAGTTTTGGTTCAGACTTCAGCAAGCATCATGGAAGTTGACATGCTTGAATTGCTTTCGCGGGCCATACAAAAAGATGTGGTGGGCCAGACCTGGCTCCCAGGCTTTGACTTTGACACCAGTGGATTAAGGCATTCATTTTAGGATATTTCCTCTGGTTCATTAGGATTTAATTGAATTTCGTTGCTCTGTCCTCATGCATGTGCAATGATGTTGAATTTGATTCCATTTCATTCCATTTAAATAAAGCATCATATTCAGCCCAAGTGATAAAAAAAAAAAAAAATCATACAGGTTTTGTTTGTACAAATTATATTTTATATCCTTGTAAAACACTGGAATATTATCTGCACAGCTGTACTTCAATAAGCCATCCTTCCATTATCGTGGGTGCTCTCCGGGTACTCCGGTTTCCTCCCACATTCCAAAAACACGCATGGCAGGTTGATGGAACAGTCTAAATTGTTACTAGGTGTGATTGTGGTCACGAATCCACTGGTGAAAAGACACTTTGATTCTAAACTCAAATCAACTGTATTTATAGAGCACTTTAGAACAGCCATCGCTGTATACAAAGCGCTGTACATGGAGCAACTATCATATACAGTATATACAACAATAAAGCAATAATCAGTAACAAAGATTCTCTCCTCTTTCATCTATAACTGTTTCAAACAACAAAGTGTATGCAGAAAATGTGATTAAGATTGCACCACTGACTGTGTCTTATGTGTTGTATTGTATTCTTTTGTCATTTTATGTTCAATTCTAAACTCAAATCAGCTGTATTTATAGAGCACTTTAGAACAGCCATCGCTGTATACAAAGTGCACGGAGCAACTATCATATATACAACAATAAAGCAATAATCAGTAACAAAGATTCTCTCCTCTTTCATCTATAACTGTTTCAAACAACAAAATGTATGCAGAAAAAGTGGTTAAGATTGCACCATTGACTGTGTCTTATGTGTTTGTATTGTATTCTTTTGTCATTTTATGTTAACTGTTCTGTTGATGGCGGTGCGGGCACCCACAGCAGCTCCTCTCTCTCCTGTGGTTGAGAGGAAAGAAATTTCATCTGTGCTGTATGTTGCACATAGAGCACGTTGGACAATAAAGTTGACTTGAACTTGAACGGTTGTTTGTCGATGTGTGCACTGCGACTGGTTGGTCACCAGTTCAGAGTGTACCCCGCCTACTGCCCGAAGTCAGCTGGGTTAAGTTCCAACACGCCCGCGACCCTCCTGAAGCTACGCGGATCAGAAAATTGATAGCTCGATAGATGTTTTATGTGTTTACCCATTACAACATACAATCCGAAGATGCCACCAATGAATTTTTCAGATTTGTCTCTGTTGTGAAATTAAATAGTAAAGGACAGAATATTGTAAAATGGTCAAATGTTATGCCTAATTCACATTTTTTTCTAATTTTTTATTTTTTTTAATGAATCGGCCAATAAATGGATGGTTGAAATTTTGTCTGTCATCAAAAAGGCCATAACGCATGACTGATAATATTTTAATTCGAATACAAATGAAATTTGCAGTTCAAAAGACATCAACTAAACCTTTACTGTCCCGCCACTTCATTTTCTATTAAAATCTGGACAGACAAACAGACAGAGACTCACAGGGTGCCCAGTCACCAGAACCAGACAGCTGGAGCTGGATCAGCTGATCCCAGCAATCGGAGTCGGAGTGCGTCTCCAGTTTGGATGTTATGGGTGAGGAAAGGCAACCGAGAGGGAAAAAAAAAACCCCAAAAAAAAAAAAAAAAAACCCAACGAAATAAAATCCTCGGGAATGCTTTGACGAGGTTAGCACTCAAGAGAAAATGGTCAATCAAGAGCGGGACAGCCCTGTGATCCACAGTCGGACGGACAGCTGGAACATCCACATCTGTTCAACCGGGAACGTCTTTCTCATTCTGGCGTGCATGTGCAGAGCAGAGGAATTAGGAGATTGGAGCTGGCTGGGTTGGGCTGAGTGGGAATGCGAATATTTGGACAAGTTGTTTTTTTGACCTGAAAAAGTTTACTTGCAGTGACTCTGTTTTTTTTGTTTTTTTCTTGCGACTCCCTAGGGCAAAATGACCTCCGTCTCAGTGGCGCTCCGATTCCTTAATTTCTCAATCTGCCAAATCCTGTTGACTAATCCCCGAACAATCCCGAGCTCAATCCTCTCACCTCACGTGAGGGAAAACAGCTCAATCGGACATGGATAGAATGTAACATGCACGCGTGCGCACACAAATGATCATACTCACCAAAAATTAACGGGAGCTAATTACTTTGCTTGACATGAAATCATGACATTTCATACCATAGTGCGCATCCTATTTCATTGTCATAACAACAGAGGATGGGGTGAGGAGGGGTAACGAAGTTTTACCTAAAGATCATCCCATAAAAGTAATATAAAATTAAAATAGTTGTTAAAAATCAAAGGTTTAAAGTGTATTCATTTGGGCAATTTGCAACATTGCGAATTTTGCTATAAAAGTAAAATGAATATGATAATAAAGGTCATATTATATGACCAATGAATTAAGAAATTGCAGATCATTTGGGACATTATCCATGACAGCACCAATACAATAAATGGCTACTATATACTGTAGCTAGCTAGCTAGATACATATCTTTCACTGCCATCATCCCTCCAGGCCATTTCCATACTTGCATTCCTAATGTGGCGGAACTTCGGTATTCAGAGGATTTTTTTTAACCTTCTGTTACATGTGTTTATTTCTTTAACCTGCCCCCTCAGTTTCCACAAATCCAGTTAGCGCTCCAATTTCATCTCCAGCACAAGCTAGCGCTCACCAATAAACCACCTTAGATCTACTGTAACATTATGTAACAACAACAAAATACGGGAGCTAATTACTTTGCTTGACATGAAATCATGACATTTCATACCATAGTGCGCATCCTATTTCATTGTCATAACAACAGAGGATGGGGTGAGGAGGGGTAACGAAGTTTTACCTAAAGATCATCCCATAAAAGTAATATAAAATTAAAATAGTTGTTAAAAATCAAAGGTTTAAAGTGTATTCATTTGGGCAATTTGCAACATTGCGAATTTTGCTATAAAAGTAAAATGAATATGATAATAAAGGTCATATTATATGACCAATGAATTAAGAAATTGCAGATCATTTGGGACATTATCCATGACAGCACCAATACAATAAATGGCTACTATATACTGTAGCTAGCTAGCTAGATACATATCTTTCACTGCCATCATCCCTCCAGGCCATTTCCATACTTGCATTCCTAATGTGGCGGAACTTCGGTATTCAGAGGATTTTTTTTAACCTTCTGTTACATGTGTTTATTTCTTTAACCTGCCCCCTCAGTTTCCACAAATCCAGTTAGCGCTCCAATTTCATCTCCAGCACAAGCTAGCGCTCACCAATAAACCACCTTAGATCTACTGTAACATTATGTAACAACAACAAAATTAATGTTTAAAAAAAAAAAAGGTCTCTGAAAGGTTTTTGGAACGAGGGTGTCTGGAATCTGTGTGGCCTGGTGTGATGCAATATTTCATCTTGATTAATCAACAATGTGCAGCCAGGGCACCAATCAGAGCGGATGATCAGGTGGGCAGAAGACTGACGGTGAGATGATGATGATGATGATAAAGGGGGGAGGGATAATACTCTGTTGTCTGCTTCATTGAGCAGGTTTAGTGTGTCATTCAATTGTTTATGAAAAGGAGGAAAATCTTCACTTAATCCATGGCCGTCTCCATCTGGGATGAGAAGAATTAAAGCTCAAGAGGAATCTGCCAATAAACGCCACTCACACATGATTCGACGAAGCCTCCATCAAAAAAATGTCCTGAATTCCACTTTGCCCAAAGGGGGAAGTTATGCTTAATGTCTAATAAGTGGATTCCTATTTTTTAAATCAAACATTGTTTAGGGCGGAGGGTTAACAAACTTAAAAGTAAAGAGCTGAAACGTCCTCTTTCTTCACAAAAACAAAATGAGGCTGCACACCAGTTGCAAGCAATTGCGTCAGATCAAAAAAGTGACAAAATCAAGACTCAAAATGCCTTAATCGGTCCAGTCCATTGTTTTTTTTTTTTTTGTCACTCAATGAAGCATATAAAGTGTGTCAACTTTGTCTTGCTACACAGATTTGTAGTTTTCATTTCAGAAGAAATGTTGTTCCAAATGTTCACATTTTCTTCACTTTTAACAGATTGAAATAAGCATTTATTTTCAACAAATCCCTTCTTAACATAAACAACACGATTGTATTTATATTTGCTAGTAACTATTTTAACGACTTGATTTCAAATCAATTTGTTGTTGAAAATGCACAGTGAACACCCACACAGGGTACAACTAAGACCCCCCCTTGCATAAGACGCCTTCCCATAGATAAATCTCTTCCTGGTCACTATATGGAGACAATTTTAATCTACCGGTAAACTGGGAAGTTATGCTTAATGTCTAATAAGTGGATTCCTATTTTTTAAATCAAACATTGTTTAGGGCGGAGGGTTAACAAACTTAAGAGTAAGTAAAGAGCTGAAACGTCCTCTTTCTTCACAAAAACAAAATAAGGCTGCACACCAGTTGCAAGCAATTGCGTCAGATC